GTAACCTTGGCCAGATCTGTGCCTTGCCACAATTCTGTCTCTGAGCTCTTCAGGCAGTTCCTTTGACCTCATGATTCTCATTTGCTCTGACATGCACTGTGAGCTGTAGGGTCTTATATAGACAGGTGTGTGGCTTTCCTAATCACGTCCAATCAGTATAATCAAACACAGCTGGACTCAAACGAAGGTGTAGAACCATCTCAGGGATGATCAGAAGAAATGGACAGCACCTAAGTTAAATATATGAGTGTCACAGCAAAGGGTCTGAATACTTATGACCATGTGATATTTCAGTTTTTCTTTTTTAACCCTCCTGTTATGTTGCGGGTCAAATACACCCACAAACATAACTGCTGAGCAGGCATCACCTGAGAAATGAACATAACAGGAGGATTCCCTCCCTCTGTTATGCTACAGCCCTAGTGAGTGAATATACAGTTTGTGAGTTATGGTGACTGAACCACATATCACACAGCTGGCATAATTGCAGCTGTAAGGAAAGTGACTCCAGCTTGTTTTCTATTTTGACACGTGACATTTGAGCCTAATAGGTTGTGCAATACTGTAACCTAACCAAGTGAAGTGTGGCCCAGTTGACCTCTGAATGTAGTGAAGATAAGAGGAAATGTAATAGTGCAACATTGAATGAAATCCAAATCTACCAGCTGAACCCTAGATGCTGACTGAAGAGACTTCAGACATGCAGTTTTGACTTTCCATCAGAAAAAATGTTCCGCTGGGACAAAGAGTGGAACATGTCTTTCGCAGGCTGTGGCTTCAGGAGTATTTACTACCTGGGAGCTTTGAGCTGTATCCTGGAGCGGGTGCCGCAGCTGGTTCGAGGAGCTTCTAAAATCGGTGGAGCTTCATCTGGTTGTCTTGTTGCTGCAGCTGTGACTGTCGGCTTTCCCATTGGTGAGTCACATTTACAATCCACATGACAGTTTGTCCAGCTCTTCAAGATGAGTTGTATTTTCATTGTGTAACATTAAGTGGTAAGGCCTAACATATGGTGTCAGATTGTATTAGGATCCTTCTTGTAACTTGTAAATATTTTATTTTATTCCTTAGCCTCTCACTGGCAGTGTAGACGGCAGTATTGATATGGTTAATAAAGATTATATTAAAGAACGGGTAAGAGTCGTGTTTCGATTTGGCATCCTTTTACATTTTCAGTGTCTGACATAAGGTGTGTTTACAAATGTGTACTTCTTTTAGTAAATGTTCCCACTGATAAAGGCTGGAGATATGCTATCTCAAAACAAATGCTGAGATTGATACTTGGCAGGTTCACTGACACACCGTGCCCATGTACCAGTGAGGGCAAACTCCATTCACTTTCTCACAAACACGCACAACAATAAAACACTATGGTAATATTAAAGCCCCATAATATATCTGATTATACACTTTGATAATACAACAGTAACCTTAAATTGTAAGTAGAAGTGATTAAAAGATGAATCATGGCAACAAAACAAAGAACAGTGAGATCATCCTCAGCTGTCAGTATCGCAAAGAGTTATTGATTTTCTATAATACCCTTCAAAGGTTAAAAAAGAAAATTGACAGTATCAAGTGTCATAACTAAATCATGTGATTAATACTTTTTATTAATTCCCACATTCCTGAATAATAAATGTGGCTGTAACTTTCCCTGAACAGTGATGTTTGCTGCATTTTTTCACAGAGCAGTTCTGTAATGAAGTGTTGAAAATGGCGAGAGAGGCCAGAAAGCACGCCCTGGGAGTTTTCCACCCAGGCTTCAATATGCTGCAGATGATATGGGTGGGCCTGGTGGAGAAGCTTCCAGAAGACGCCCACCTTCGGGCATCCGGAAAGCTCTGCGTGTCCCTCACCAGAATGGCTGATGGGAAGAACGTTTTGGTGTCAGAGTTTAACAGCAGAGAAGAGCTGATTCAGGTGGAACTGAGTAGTGAAACCGTCTGCAGCTTTGTCTGATCACAGATTTGAAGCTCCGATTTGTGTGTCTTCTTTTGCAGGTTCTGATGTGCAGCTGCTTTTTCCCTGTTTACTGTGGTTTCACCCCACCTTCATACCGTGGAGTGGTGAGAAGAGACCTTCATGTTTTTGTAGAAGGATCAGAAGGAAATGGCTGTCAAACAGGATCTGTTCTCTATAAAGCCTCTGTAATCAGAAATGTTGAAATTCTATAAATCTCTTTTTCAAGAGCTTCCTGACCAAGACAGGCAACAACATCAATCATGATAAACAACACCCTCTCATCGGTACAGCAAGCAATAAAAATTTTGAATGGATCAAAACCTGTAAAACCCCAAGTCTGCATTAAAACAGACAAATTATTAAATATTAATCTTAGCTCTCCACTGACGTCTCTCATCAGCATTATAATCATTACATTTCCAAACCTTGTAAGCCGATTATTTTGTATCTGTGCAGTCATATGAGTCATTTCCCTTTGCAAGAAGCATATTAAGGTCATGGAGTGGCCTAGTCAGTCTCCAGACCTTAATCCCATAGAAAATCTGTGGAGGGAGCTGAAGGTTCGAGTTGCCAAACATCAGCCACGAAACATTAATGACTTGGAGAGGATCTGCAAAGAGGAGTGGGTCAAAATCCCCCCTGAGATGTGTGCAAACCTTGTGGCCAACTACAAGAAACGTCTGACCTCTGTGATTGCCAACAAAGGTTTTGCCACCAAGTACTAAAGCACATTTTGCAAAGAGATCAAATACTTATTTCATTCATGAAAATGCAAATTAATGTATAACTTTTTTTGTAATGCATTTTTCTGGATTTTTTTGTTATTGTTGTGTCTCTCACTGTTCACATAAACCTACCATTGAAATTGTAGATTGATCATTTCTTTGTTAGTGGGCAAACTTACAAAATCAGCTGGGGTTCAAATATTTTTTTTCCCTGACTGTATTTAAATCATCAAAATTAATAGTATGCAAGACAAATACATAATAATTATTACTAGTAGAATGTTGTTGCTGGGAGCTAATTGTAACAGTTCTACAGTACATACTGGGAATTTTACAGTAACTTGCAACAGTACTGAAGCTGTTAAAATAACAGGCTTTTTTCCCACAGTGAACATTTTAACTTGTCCCAAGTAGAAAACACAGGTTACAGTTACAAGTGTCTGAATAAGGCATGGCAGTGTTACAGTGAGCCAACATGGATTATTTTATTATGCACACCTGTCAAAATGCCTTCCAAAAAGCCCTGCATAGTGAAGTAAAAGATACAATTTCCCTCTAAAATGAGTACACCTGTAAAGTGGGATAAACTGGACATACTCAAGTACTTTCAAACTGTGGTAAAGTGTACTACTTGAATCAATCTATTTAATTACTTTCCACAAAGACAAGCAGTATGTAAGTGTTGGTGCTTTCACAATTGTTGCAGACAGGTTCGAACTGGCAGTCAGACAAGTGGGTGTGCCCATGCAGGCAAGTAAGTTGTGTCCAAACCTGCTCACCTTGTTTGTAGCTGCAACAATATTGACACCACACCAGGCTAAAAAAAAGCAAAGCATCACTGCAAACACCACATACCTACATTTAGGATACAGGAACATTCACTGTTTCTTCATTTCTCTTTGCAGCTCAGTCTGTCTCTCCTGTATATGTGTTTAGATTAAGGTGTTATTGTTAAAATAGCAGATATGCCACTCGTAGTGTTTTTCACCAGTGTGAGCAGTTCTCTGCAGGTACAGTATGCAGTCTTGTTTAATACTTTTAGCCATATTGCTAATATATTGGTGACAAAACATAAGGCATGCTGAATTCAGCACATCATGGTTTTGTGCAAATGTGTTTATAGCATTTACATTTTATTTCTTTTCACAACCTGTAGCTGCTCATTCTGCCAAATTTCATTTTGAGGCAGAACTTGGTTTAAGTGTCAAAGTGCTATATATGAATATAAAACTAACTGAAATACTGACCCACCAGACAAAGAAAGATCAGGAAAGAATCTTCTCGGTCTTGGATTCTAAGAAGATCGCTTACAAAGCTGTGGACATTGCTCAGAATTCTGCAGATAAGGATTTAATGAGGAAGATAGCAGGGAACCCGACTGCACTGGCACCTCAAATATGCAATGGGAATGTCTACTGTGGAGTAAGTGTTGCATAATAACCTGTAAAAGTATTGATCAACTGTCTACTTTGAAATGACAAAAAGTAAAACAATTTTTCTCATTAACAAAATATTTAATGCACACTCAGCTAGTACAAATGTTCATTCATCAACAGAGCTAACAAAAATGGTCAAGAGGTGTATAAAAAAAGAAAGTTACAGTAAAATAATGAAAATCATATCAGTGTAAAAGTTTGCTTCTCCCTTTATGAAATATTCTGTAATAATTTGCATGTCCTCGCTAACCTCCTCCAACCTCTTTGACGAGAAACCAAAGTCATAAACAGGAGGTAAAATTTGAGCTCTGGTAGAAAGAACCTTATCATTAAAAAAGAATAAAAATTTTTGACAAAGGGCGGGGGAAGACTCAAAACAGGCAACCTGAGGAACATTCAGAACTGAGTCAACAACTTTAAACAACACACGAGGCTTATGACAGTTTGACTGAATGATATTAGAGAAATAATTTCTCTTAAGATTTTTCACAGTTTTTTGATAATCATGCCAAGAGTCTCTAAGTATCTGAAGTGACACTTGTAGTTTGTCCTTTTTCCACTTGGGATAACAGTAACACACTTCTGGATGATCTTTCCTCAAAGCCATTCACAGCACAGCACTCACACACTGCACACACATCAGAATTGAATGAAACTTTCTTTTTTCTCTTCAAATACTGAAACCTTGTATGCATTCCCACCTCCACACTAGCTCCGTGAAGTGCGCTTGTCCTTTTGTTGATTTTGGGAAGTACAGAACTAGCTGGATTGAGCAAACAATGCTGTTTGATCATGTCACAAGCACTGCGGTTGGAGACTGTTGACAGGACTGGTATAAAAACTTTCACCTTGTTCTCTTGTCATATGAAATCATTGTTATAATTGGATGAGGATTCTTACAAATAAACACAAACTTTCTTAATATCAACTCTGCCTGACCATTATGAGCCTCAAAATAATGTGTACAAGAAGAGTGTACTACATAAATGGCACACAATCACTAGAACATATCATAAAACATCTGTATATTTACTGTTTCTCTCTGTATCTCTGCATCCTTTTTACCCTTACCCCGTCACCCATCTTTTTGTTTTCTTTCAGGGCTTCACAGACTTTGAGGATGCAATCGAGATGGAACAACTGGAGAAGTTTCTGAAACTCTAAAAGAAATGATGACCGGCTATGGGATAGTTGACCACGTTGCCATGTTCACTCCCACATATATACAGTTAAACAAAAAATAAAAATTTGGAGTATTTTCGTACTTCATTTTGGTTGATTTGATGAAGTCATAAGCTTTATTTGTATTTGATGAATAAACTTAAAGTCTCCATGGCATGCTTGTTTCCAGCCATTTAATGTTTAATCTTGCATACCTCTAGAGCAGGGCTGGCCAATTCCAGTCTTCGAGGGCCGCTGTCCTGCTTGTTTTCCAACTATCCCTGCCTGACCTGCTGCTGATTACCTGGCTCAGGTGTGTTCAGTCAGTCAGAAGCTGGAAGATACCATCTTAGATGAAAGTGGAGTGAGGAAAGATAAAGTGAATTGGTATGAATTTGGCAGGCAGGGATACTGTAGTTGGAAAACAAGCAGGACAGCGAGCCTCGAGGACTGGAATTGGCCACCCCTGCTCTAGATTATCTTGGCATCCCCCATAACTCTAAATAGTCTATAGTTTTTTCAGAATCATAAAATCAAAAAGCCAAAAGTTACATTTTGACCTTTTGCAGTTATTGACGTGAGGTTTATTCAAAGTGGTATCTATGAAAAGCTTCACCAGCGAGGTCAAAGAAACCAACAATAATGTAGTTTAACACAGTAATAAAATTAAATGCTTGAAGAGGGACAATGACATAATGAATAAATGTCAAGTTCAACAGCTTGATTAGCTCAGAGCATCAGACAATTTTTGGGAAAAGGATGCCAGAGCTGCGTTGTGGAAAAAGCCCACAAGAATGGTCAGAAGGCATACTTTATCAGTCGAAAGGCATTCATCAACGGGAAAGAGATTCGATTTGTTAAGACTCACAATGAGAATTACAGAGTGGTAAACTGTATCTCTGAAGGGATCATCTCCTGTTTGTTTTAATAAAAATACTAAATATATACAGGTGCATCTCAATAAATTAGAATATCGTGGGAAAGTCCATTTATTTCAGTAATTCAACTCAAATCGTGAAACTCGTGTATTATATAAATTCAGTACACACAGACTGAAGTAGTTTAAGCCGTTGGGTCTTTTAATTGTGATGATTTTGGCCCACATTTAACAAAAACTCACCAAATCACTATCTCAATAAATTGGAATATGGTGACATGCCACTCAGCTAGTCAACTTCAAACACCTGCAAAGGTGTCCTGAGCCTTCAAAATGGTCACTCAGTTTGGTTCACTAGGCTACACAATCATGGGGAAGACTGCTGATCTGACATATCCAAGCATGTTAACAGAAAGTTGAGTGGTAGGAAAAAGTGTGGAAGAAAAAGATGCACAACCAACCGAGAGAACCGCTGCCTTGAGAGGCTTGTCAAGCAAAATCGATTCAAGAATTTGGGTGAACTTCACAAGGAATGGACTGAGGCTGGGGTCAAGGCATCAAGGGCCACCACACACCGCCATGTCAAGGAATTTGGCTACAGTTGTTGTATTCCTCTTGTCAAGCCACTCCTGAACCACAGACAACGGCAGAGGTGTCTTAGATGGACTAAGGAGAAGAAGAACTGCACTGTTGCCCAGTGGTCCAAAGTCCTCTTTTCAAATGAGAGCAAGTTCTGTATTTTCATTCTTGCCAACCATAATCAGACTGTGTTTCATTTGTCTGTGCCGACATGCCGCTTTTACATACGGGCGGTGAAACTCATTTAAATGGAGTGCGCGCGGCACATGAGGCCGATTTTAATCAGCTGATAATGGTGATTCCAGAAAATACCATATTCTTTCATATTAAACAACATGATGTCTTTTGAACACTAAGTGAACAGCCTATATCACTGACTGACTACTGCCCCAAAGAGCCCACATACCAGAATGCAATCAAAAAAAAAAACAAAAAAAAAAACTGGCAGAAAAAAGAGGGGGTGCATTTGAAAAATACACAAAATTATTCATTTGTATTATACAAAAAAACCTTACCTTCGTGGCCTTGAAAGAAACATCTGGAACACATTCATGTCCCTTTGCAGGCCAGTCCTTTCCCTAGGAGTTAGTTACTTAAATACAGTTAAAGAATAAATGTTCAATTGTTTCTATGTCAATTTTGCAAAATACACAAACATTACATTCTATATTAATATGCAGAAGTTCATTGCAGGGGCAAATTTTGAATAGAATTTTGAAAAGTAAGTCCTTAGCTTTAGCTGGTACTTGAAACACAAGCTCCTCTGTTCAGTTTTTTTTTTAAAACAATCTGTTGAGAGTTCTTTTCCAGGGTAGAGTTGCTGAATATAATTCTGTCTTCACTGCCCCTCTAATAATTTGGTTATTACACTTCTTATCAACAAATTTGTAGTTGATCATTAGACGTGGATTAGGCCTAGAGCTGTAATTTTTGAGGAGGCTTCTTCTATTATTATTATGTAATAAAGAGGCTAACAAATGTATAGGTCCACACTGAATAAAACTGAAATTTAAAATGCTTTAAAAATACTTTTCCTAATAATAATCTCCATGAGAAAATACCATGTAAACTCAAGAAAAAACTTGCCTCAAAGCTAAAACTTCAGCAGGCAGCACCTCAGACACCACTGGGGCCTGGTGGCATTAAAACAGTGTCGCAGGCTTGTGACGTCCTTTTTACCCGCTGCCCGAGAGGAGGATAGGGTGCGTTTCATCGGTTGCCGTCACAATCTATAGCATAAATCTAACATCTTGACCTATAACTCACTCACAGTGAGCTAGTTTCGGTGGATAATAACTGTCTTCTCATATGTGTTTTTATTGCAGAACTTTAAGTCCACCATCCATCGTAAAACTATAATGGCCGAGGAAGGGTGAGCATGACTCTTTCTGTCTGGCTCTAGTCTTATGGAGTACGGTTTAAACCAGATGTTTAACAGAACAAGTGGTGAAAACAGTGTCCTAGTACTTCTAGGGTGACGTGACAGTGGTGTAACATTTTTTTTCATGTGGCTACTAAGTAGTGTAGCGATTCTTTGCAGCCTATAATTTGATCGTACTTAAGCTAACTGCTTGGCTAGCTTAGCCGATATGCACGTTCAAATGTTCCATACTGATACAGCACGTGTGAATAGAACAGCTATCAAATATGGGAAGTATTAGCTCTTTAAATTTTGTTGGTTTAGGAGTTTGTCTTGTTTCTTAAACTTAGAAAATAGCATTCTCAAGTTACTACCTACTCAACATGTTCAGTGTATTGCTGGGACTGAATAATTGTAAACGTGAATAATTTGCTTTGAATGTTGTGTCTTATGAGAGTTCAAGATTTTTTTAATGTAATTTGACTTAAAGTTATAAACCAAAAACCTTTTTCTGGAACCAACAACTATATTGTTTCAGCAAGTGCCCCAGTTATTAGCGCAACAATGCTGGGTTTGTCATTCTAGTAATAACAGGGGGAATTGTTGTCTTGAAGAATAGAAGTTAAATTTTGAACATGTCCTTCAAGTGAGCTTTCTGTTGCTTGAATGATGACTTTACATTCTTTTGTCGGATACCCCTTCACTCAACAATGAGTGAGATCCTCCTTCTGACATGCTGGAAGCTCAACTGGAATACACTAATTGGTCATGCAAATTTAGTTATATATTAAGCTTTATTTCTCTTCTGCCATTTTCAATAGCATTTCTGCTGGAGGTGTGATGGATGTGAACACCGCTCTCCCTGAAGTGCTCAAGACTGCACTTATCCATGATGGCCTTGCCCGCGGTATCCGTGAGGCTGCCAAAGCCTTGGACAAGTATGTATTTAAAAATACTTAACTTCACTGGCATTCCATACATAGTAGGTGGATCATTGATGATATCTTGGCTCCCTCTACTGAACCTCATGTGGAAGCCTGCCATTGTTACCCAATATCTGTCTGAGATGTGCCTTTATTTATTTTTAGCATAATAGTGCATTGTGCCCATTGTTGAGTTAATCAGTGCTCTGTTGCAGGCGTCAGGCCCATCTCTGTGTCCTTGCAGCCAACTGCGACGAGCCCATGTACGTCAAGCTGGTTGAGGCCCTCTGCGCTGAGCATCAGATCAACCTAATCAAGGTAATGAGCCTGCTGAAAATTAGACTGCTAGGAGTAGTGAGCGGGAATCCCTTATTGCCAAAATCCATGAGTTAAAAATGTAATTCTTTTATAGGCATGAAAACCCAAGTATTTTGTACTATTTCAGCTAGGTCTCATGTACTGACAGTAGATTTTAAGGTGCTGCTGTATCACTGATGATAATTTGGCTCCCTCTACTGAATACTGTGAGGAGATTGCCACTGTTACCCAATTTCTGTCTGAGATGCAGCCTGAAGCACCCATGATGCTGCAGTTGTAGTTTCACTGCTTAGGTTTAGTTAAACTGGAAAACCTTTGTCACAGTACATGAATGCATACCAGTGACTGTTTACCAGGAGTAATTACCAACATTGTTGTTGTAAAATAGGTTCTTAAGCCACTATTAAAGGCATGTTACTTTTATCTTAAATGTAGGTGTGACACAAGGTAATATGTGCTTAACTTTATTTTAGGTTGATGACAACAAGAAGCTTGGTGAGTGGGTTGGCCTGTGCAAGATCGACCGTGAGGGCAAACCCCGCAAGGTGGTGGGCTGCAGTTGTGTCGTAGTCAAGGTGAGTGGTGCAAAGTTTTCTATGGGCTTTTTACGTTATCAAGGCACAATTCAAATTTTTTTTTCTTTTGTCTTGCACTACAATGGGAAGATGTACCTGTTTTGTTGTTGATCAGTCAAGTACAGAAGTTAGGACATATGGTAGCACTGCCAGTCAAGTGCAGGTGCTGTGCTTTGTGCCATGCAGCTGTTGTTAACTCCTGGCTAGATGACAGCCAGGGTACGAGCCCCTTCATCTGCCGGTCGTGTTTGGGGTCCCTAAAAATGGCTACATACAGTGGCGTGACAGTAAGCACCATGATTGATGGGGCATCCTGGCATTAGCTTCTTGAACTCTGCTGTGTAGCTAACAACTGTTGATTTTAAATTCTCCTGTCCACAGATGTGTCAGATTGAATTTTGGGAAAATGATGCATGAGACATCCAGAAAACTTCCACTAAATTTTAATGGTTTAGCCATAAAACATGTCTTTTAGTTTATGCATAGTAGCTACAATGAAGTGTGGAAACAAGCAGATACAAGCTGATGCGTAGTGTTCAAGTTCAAAATTTAATATCATCTACAGTTTGAGGTTTGTTGGTGTTTATACAATTAACTCTTGTCACTTTGTCATTTAGAGCAGAGCCTGGCCACACCTGTATATTTTCCTAAGCTTTTATATGTGTGATTTACCAGGATATGGATTCGGTTAAACATTACACTTTTGTTGTCTATAGGACTACGGCAAGGAGTCTCAGGCCAAAGATGTGATCGAGGAATATTTCAAGGCGAAGAAATAAGGCTGCAATAAAAAGTGGTAACAAAGCTATTGTCTCAGTTGCTTTTTTTTTTAAATCACCTTTTGCTGTTTAGCTGACCTATTGGCAGCAGGTATAAAGTCATGGTCTGCTCAGATAAATGTTTACCTCAGCTTGTGGCAAAACTAGTAAGAGTCAAGAACAAATGTGGTGTTAAGGTGAATGAGAGTTGACATTTCAGAAATTTAAATTATGGGATGTCAGATTTCACACCATTATTATCTGGAAAATCTCTGGTCACATCTAATTCACAAAATGCATACAAGGTTTGACCACTGGGAACAGGAAATGAACTAATATGCAGCACTGGGTTAGGTGGATAAGGTTACAAATTTCATTAGGGAAGACAAGATGCATAGGTCTTTTGGATAAGTGTTCTCCTTTATATCTACATAACATTTCTGAATAAAGAAAAGACATTCAAACACATTAAGGCACAACACATGACGCATGTCCTCAGTTTCTCCAAGAAAAAATACAAAAATCCAGAGGGGGAAAAAAAACAAGACCCCAAAATATCCACCACTGCCCTTAAATTTATTGTAAATAATTTACATGTTTCTGCCACAGACTGCATTATATTGTGATTATACCACCAGGAAGAAAACACTTAAAAAAAGGGCAGCTGTTACCCTGCATACAGTGCTGCCAGAATAGAGAAGCCCTCATTGATTTGAGGCTAGATAGTCCCAGGTCACCAAAACAAACCAAAGAAACTCCCTCTGAAGGAGGTTGGGGGGTGTCTCCAGCCTGTACAGGGTTTCAGTCCTCTCCAGCTCCATGGACAGAAGATGCTTTTCACAGAGGCCTGTCCCAGCATCGTCGTCAGGGGGTGCGCTATAGTTTAGTTGAGGCATGTCTTGACCCCACTGTTCTGTTTCCTCCTTTCACCTCTTTGTTTTTTTTTTTAGTTTTTTTTTTAAGACCATTCAAAGTTTGTAAATCCAGGCGTTCAAGGAAAAAAAAAAACATCACACAGCTGCAGTGTACTGATCTTTAAATAGTTTTACAAAAGAAGAGGGCTGCCTGGCTGACCCATGTCCATAACATTGCATCCACTTTGAGTCCGTATTATTATAATAGTTACAGGTACTCAAACTCCAGTGCTTGGTGTAATGCCAGCAGGTCAGAGTGACTGGATATCCTCCAGAAAGGCATGTTGTGCTGCAGAGTAGGGACACACACACCATTACAACCAGCCATACTGTTTACATAACTGATGCACACCACCACCACCTACCGTCATGCAAGCTACACTACAGTAGCTTGTAGCTGCTTGCTTTGCACAAGCACAGCAAAACAATATTCATGCAATTCTAAGGCTTAAAGGAACAGTGTGGTATTTGGGAAATAAGTGTTTTTGAGCTGAGAGGACTGATGCTTATGTGCATAGAAAGCTACAACCAGCCGCCGGTTATCTTAGCATAAAGATTGGCCAGCCATATTCTCTCAATAGGAAACAAAAGCTGCCTAGAAGCACCTATGGTTACAAATTAAAATGTGTAATCTTTACAGACATGTGAAAACTATGGAAGTACATCCCTGCCAGAACGTTGGAGGGTGCACTATCCATATTGAGTGCTATTCAGTTTGCAACTTGGCACTTGAGGAAACCGCTGGCACAGATTTGTTAGTGCAGAATAATATTTGTACATTTGTTTCCGAGTATGTACTCGGATTTCTCCATTGGGTTTTGTGTAAAAAGTGTCAGTTCCAAATGTTTTGAAAGCACCCAAAACAAGTTTTGAGTGCTGTTCCATTTGCAAATTAGAATCTGAGAACACAGAGATGGATTTGCAGGAGATGGAGAACCCCTGTTGCTCGCTCAAATCATCTGTTACACCCACAATTTTGTCCTCCCTCACACCCAAAGCTGTGTCTGGTCTTACAAATCTCTACCTGTATATTCTCAAATACTGATTTGCAAACTGACATAGTTGAAACTCGTTTTGTGTGCTCTCAAAACCTTTGGCGCCGACAGACTTTCACACAAAACCCAATGTAGAAATTTGAGAGCACACACTCAAATGAGCGTGTGCATGGCCAGGATTATGCTCTCAAAGCTGATTCTGTGCTTACAAATGTGTGCATTCTCAGGTGCTTCCATGGCGGTTCTCTGTCTTTATGTGATGCTAAGCTAACCTTGCTGTTGTACCTGCTGGGTGTAACGTGCAGCTGTCAGAGCACTATCAGTCTTCTTGTCTAGCTTGGTGAGAAAGTGAATAAGCGTATTTCATAAAACGTCAAACTGTTCCTTTAGCAGCCCCAGCACTATGAATGAAACCCAATGCTGGAGAAGAGAGAGGATTTATATTCACACATCAGGAAATATGTCCTAGGTAATGAGTTTAGAGTATAACACCAGGTGTAATTTGTTTTGTTATAACTCTACTTTTCTCCCACGTAAACTAATCATTGAAAAATAATACTCCACACACCACTAGATAAAAACCAGCATTATCCGTCTCAAATGAGATTGTTCAAAGCTTAATCACTGTGTACATTTGGGCAGCCATTTAGTTTTGGTGTCACATGTGATGACAATAAAATTAAGCAGAGGAGTATATGAGCCAAATTAAGTTGCGTAATTTGACTCATTACGCTGCGTGTGATCCTCATAAAGATCAGGCACAAAATGTACAACTTAGCCAAGCTTCAATCTCACATTTTCACTAACAGATGCAGTCAGTCTTGCCTGTCACTGCATTAAAAAAAGAAAAATGCAACAGAAAAAGTAAACAACCAACACAACACTGCTACAGCAAAGAAGGCAGGCTTCGTCCAATCAGAGCTCACAGTGTGTGGAGTAGGCGGGGACACGGTGAGGTTGTGGGTCCATTACCTTTTTGGCTGCCTGCTCCTCTTCCACACCGTCACCAATTACAACATACACTACTTTCCTGCCAAACCTTTGCATTATGCGTTCAAAGCAACTCTCTTTTCCTGCAAAAAAACAAATAAACAAGGGGAGGAAGGAGGGTCACAAGGTCAGAGGGGTCAAAGTTCAGAAGTTGTGTGTTTACCTGGCTGGCCGCATGCTCTTCATCCTTCCCATCGCCAATCACAACATATGTAATGTTAGTGCCAAAGCGGGAGACTATACGCTCAAAACAGCTCTCTTTGCCTGGAGACAAACAAATGGCTTTCACAGGTTTTTCCTTTGTTTAGATGGAAATAAAACACAGTAAGAGGCAGATCTGTGTGCATCAGTGCACAGAAGTGAAGTAGAGGAGACAGAAACAGAGGCTTTGACATGGGCAGACACACATAAAACACCTTTTTTCCATAACATATTGATCACTCTGATTCATCCTGACATCCACGTGGTACCTCCTGAGAGGTGCTTCAGATGAATATAATGAAATCTGGTTGCAACGACAACACAAAGAGCAGGCTTGCTTGTGGGTGATGTCAAAAGTCACACCCCATATTAGCAACTGGCCTTTTGCCTGTACAAATATACATGATGTTAATTGGTCATAAAGTAATTCCATATGCAAAGTCAAGCATGCAGGGGTCCAGTGGATATGGCATCCGACCTCAAACACTTGTGCAGTCTACTGTCGTCATGGTTATCTCATTGCTACGTCCTTTTGAATCAAGGCACCGTGGGGTTGAATGGCGTGTGACATAAGCTCACAAACATGCACATACACACACACATACTTGGCTTGAGTTTCTTTCTTGAATGCTTTTGGCTCTTTACCTCTCCTAATCCAAGTTGTTTTGTTTCCTGTGTTCGGACTGATGCACGGTTGAATATAATTTAGTGCTGGCCACGGACACGGTGTATTGGCGTAACCGGCTGACGTTAATGCTAATAGAGACCATTCAGAATGTGGGCACCAGGCCTGGAAGAGCCCACAAACAGAGTTGTTTAAGGCCAGATTAGAATCATGTGAGGTGAGGATGGATTTAATGTTGTTGAGCAAAAGCATAACTCTGGTATTAAAGGATAAGGCCGGCCATTTTCTATATTACCAGTATCTTTAATGTTTCCCATATAGAGACTAAAACCAACAATTAACTGCCTCTACTCATGGTTAGTGTCTGCCAGCCATGGATTATTTTATTCACCTGTGCCATAGACCTCCACTGATGTTCAGAAACAATTAAAAACACATCAGGGAAACGGTGGCACAGTGGTTAGCACCGTTGCCTCACAGCGAGAAGGTCCCGGGTGGGGCCCGAACCCAGTGCCTTTCTGTGTGCAGTTTGCATGTTCTCCCCGTGCTTGCGTGGGTTCTCTCCGGGTACTCCGGCTTCCTCCCACAGTCCAAAGACATGCAGCTTAGGTTGACTGGTGTCTCTAAATTGCCCATAGGAGTGTGTGTGCATGTGTGTGGTTGTTCGTCTATGTGTTAGCCCTGCGATGGACTGCGACCTGTCCAGGGTGTACCCCGCCTTCACCCAATTGCCGGCCGGGATTGTGCCGGCCGGGATTGGCTTCGGCCCGCCCCCCTGACCCCATTCAGGGACTAAGCGGTAGAAATGAATGAATGAATCAGGGAAATGCACTGCTGCATTTGGTGACATACTTCCTCATTATGAAACATAAGACCCTGGTATTTGTTAAAGGTATCCAGAGATCTAGTGCCCTTGACTCTTGCCTACCTCAGATGCTCTATTTTATTTTTGTGATCAGTCTTGTTTACTTTCTTACTTTAGGTTTAAGCGTCCCATTTTAATGACAAACTGTCACTATAATTCACTAGGAAGTGCGTCCCAGGACAAAGGGACATCAGTTCTAAGTCATGAATACCCGAAGTCACATTAAATACAGTGAAGCAACTAAGTATGTTTACTCAAGTACTGTACTTAAGTATAATTTTAAGGTATCTGTACTTTACTCAAGTATGTTTTTTTTATTTTCATTTTCGGCTACTTAATACTTTGACTTCACTGCATGTACTTTTTAAGTTCGCTACTTTGACAACTTTAGTTACTAGTTACTTAATAATACAACAGCACTGTAATGGCCGTCCCTGGTAGGTTAGTGGTTATGGTGCAGCGCTCTTGCCGCTGTGCCCCGGGTTCGAATCAGGGTTGCGTCAGGAAGGGCATTCGGCGTAAAACACATGCCGAATGTCAACATGCGAGTCGTCAGTGTGACGATTCGCTGTGGCGACCCCTAAAACAGGAAAAGCCGAAAGTGACAAAAACAACAGCACTATAATCTTAAGCCTTTGTTGATTCCTTATGGAACATTCACAAGCTACTCAGCAGTATGTAAAGTCATTCAAATTACAAACATATTAGGTAGTTAAAACTAGCACCACCTTTACCAGCTGCAATATTAAATGTGATGTGCACAATATGCATCAGTAACTATAATTCAATAATATGATATACAACCATGTGTAATGTGCTATTCTGCACACCGAGTACTTTTACCTGTACCAGAGTATTCTTACACTGTGCTAATTTTAATTAAGTAAAGAATCTGAGTCCTTCTTCCAGTACTAATTTAATATGCTTTTTGATTGCAAAGTCAGATTAAGTTATCCATTGCATATGGACCTTTTAAAATAAATAACACTGACAGTGAGAAATACCACTGGCTATTGTGTGAATGAGGAAAAGGAATGACTATTGAAGAGTACAGTACAATGACTATTATTGCCGTTTTACTTATTAATTGAATTTACAAACCTGCACATTCTATATTTGAGAGGTAATGCATCTTTAAGTCCATGCTTGTGTTTGGCCAAAGCGTAACCAGCATGATCTGTTTCCTCTAAATGAAATGTTGTGTGCTTTGGGTTCAATTTTACTTTGTTTCTCTCTATTTCTCTCTCCCCTCCACACACACACACAGTATAAAATAAAGCATACTGTGACTGGAACATTCCCAACCAACCATTCAGTGAACCTGAGGCCAACTAAAGCAATAAGTTGACTATAACAGGGAACATGATATGAGCAGCATATGGAGTGAAAAAACAAAATAAGGGATAACCAACAAAATACATGTGACTTTCAAGTATTAAAATATCATAAGTCATCTACTAGTTAAATACTTTAATTCCACATCACGTTATTTCCATCAATATTAGATTGTTGGTTTAGAGTTTATGGGCTGTGTGTGGCTAAGTGTTTGTCTTACCTATTTTTGTTGCACTGTAAATGTTCTCGATAGGGAAAACGGATCCGAGGCTATATAAGAGAACTTTAGCCAGCGCTGGTATGAGCTGCGTTGTGGTCACCAACACATTTACACAGTTACTCCTATGAGATAGAGATGAAAAGAGAGAACAGACCATATTAAGAAGAGCAGAGGTGGGTGAAAAGCTCTATGAATGGGACGATAGACATAAATGGATCACAAGTCCTCTGATGCTGAATCTGGATCAATTTCCTCACCTGAATCTTTAGCTTATAATGACTGATCACAGGATGAGAGCAGCAATTTCACAATGTGGGTGAATGAAAGAATAACAACAGCGTAAAAAGTGTTACCTGGAGCTGATGATGGACAAGGACTTGAGAGCGTGGGTGAGCCAGGAGTCGGTCAGAGCCTCGACCTCGGCTCTGAGCTGCAGCCAGGCGTCTCTCTTAGCAGGACCAAGCAGACCTAGGACATAGCAGAAATTCACTTCATCCTTAAAGTGACACGAGTTACACATTAAAGGAAAACAAGCAGCACAAATTAGGACATTATGAGCTAATCAGAATTTGGAGGCCACTAGGGTTACACCCATGTCTAGACTGATGTGAGGCTGAAACACCACACACTGACTTCTCTGTAAAACCTGCAAAACCTGTGAAGTTTGTTTCCTCACTCATTTAATTTGTGTTTAGTGGTTTAAGGGCTGATATTTAATTAAATTATTTAAGGAACAATTACAAACCTGCTAAACCTAGAAAAGGCCAGACTTTCAGGGGCTTCAAAGGAGTTATAATGTCCTACAGTCTAAATATTTCAGAATCATTTCTACTCTAGTACTGATGGACATTAGAAGGAAACAAATATATATTTAGTTCTGGCATGAAATTGGTCAAATGAATTATTAAAAATACAGTCAAAACCTTCCATACATGTGTGTTATTTGAAGACTGAGTATTATCTGTAGCTCCTGTGCAGAATATACAAAAACACATGAATCATTTCAGACAGAATCTTTCTTTCCAAACTGAACTTTAATCTAATTTCACCATATGTAGTAGAGAATTTACAGTTTAATTAAACGCCCCCTCTCTGTTGCCCTCTTATCGGTCCCTGGAGTCCAGTAAACTCCAATCCAGTTGGCTTACCCCCCACATTGTTTTTGTAAGTGCTATACAACTCTTTGACACGTCGGTAGCGGAAGGCCAGTTTCCTCATCCAGTCGCCCCCGCCGCGGACACCCGTAGCCAGGCACAGGTTTGCGCTGGTTGCAGCTGCATGGAAGCCATCAGTTGCAAAACTGTAAGTACTGTCAATAATAATGATATATTTTATTTGAAAAATCTGCTCTGGTAGAACAAAAAGATGGTTATCATTATTGTTCAGTACCATAAACATATTTGAAAGAATGAAATTAACATGCAGATAAAATGTACAAAAAAACCCGACAATAAATAAAAACTATCAACTGTTTACACTCTACAAATTTATGAAATTCTCACCTGAGGTCCTGGCCATTGTCGTCTGATGATACATCATCAATATGTACCTGATCACACTCCTGTACACACAGACACATAAGTATTATATAGAGCAACATAAATAGTAATTATGAAAACTGAACGAAGACAAAATGATTCACAAAGGCATAATCAAAGTTAACTGTGTATAGAAAAATGTTGCCAACATGTTAATGGTTGGCATAAAGACATGGTGCAGCACTTACAGTGAGTGGTGTGTTACATCACTAGATGGCAGTAACAGCATTTCACTGGATGCTGGTGTGACAACATGCCTTTTGACAGAGCTATTTATACTGTAGTCAGTTAGTATCTTTATGGTTTGTGTCTTGATGTATTTGATTTGCTGCTGATAAGCAGTTCTGTAACTGTACTTAATAGGCAATGGTGGAAGAAGTACTCAGATTGTTTACTTGAGTAACAATATCACAAGTGTAAAAGTACTGTGTTACAAATCCTCCAGTAAAATTATAGAAGTATTGGTATCAAAATATATTCAAACTACAAAAAGTAAAAGCACTCTTTATAGCATAATTCAGATTAATGTATATATGGACTGGCAACTTGTCCAGGGTGAACCCCGCCTCTCGGTATAGGATAAGCGGTATAGATCATGGATGGATAGATGGACATTAATGTATATTATATTACTGATGCATTATTATGTACATCACATTTAATGCTGCAGCTGGTGGAGCTAATTTTAACTATCTTATATGCTTATAATTTAAAGCATTGAAGGGTATTTTGTGAAATACAAAAATATGAGATACCCAAGTACAGATACCTCAAAATTGTACTTAATCCCTGTATTTGAGTAAATGTACTTACTTTTCACCATTCTTAATGGGCTTAATTAGGACCAATAATGACCTCAGGCAGCTTTGCCGTCTGATTGGTTAATAGGCTGCCTGCACTTAGTTGAAGCTACAGTATGGAGGCTTAGAGAGCACACTAGATTTTGATGGTGCTTGCTACTACAAATTTATATGCTAGTGCAGTAATTTCAAGTACTTTTGCCAATTTTATTTTACTCAGTAAATGCTTGATATGAGGAACACAGAGTATTTATTGAAGTATGCCTCGGCTACATATATGCTGTAAGCTCTATAACTTGTGTGCACATCTCAAGAAATAGACAGAGCCACAGTAACACTCTGGAAAGCTGTAAATGTGTTTCTTTGAGTGTCAGCCTGATATGTGTCTCACCTCCAAGTCATTAAAGAATAAGTGTGTGTCAGCCAAGTTGAAGATCATCTCCTCCATCCTAAGACCCAGCGTTACTGCCATTGGAGGGTCCTAATTAAAGATGAAGATAGCATCACCATGATGACAAATTATACCAGATCCATTTACTCTCTTAGTAATTATTAATCCCACCAGTCCCCAAAACCATATCAGGAGTTACACACTTTCTACTTTATCCCAGTTCCCACCCACATTTGTAGAGTTGGTATGTTCCATTCATCACAGCAGATGTTGAGAGACAGGTTACACTTGCTCTGTCCCATCAACATTCCTCAGGCTTTGGTGGGGGGTTGTGTTTGTGGGGGGTGAGAGTCTTCCTGTGTGTGCATGTTAGAGAGAGTAGGTGCCCTCAAAGGGAGACGCTCAAAGTGTATGTGGTATGTGAAAAGGTTTGTGTGTAAATGTGTGAGTGTTTGGGAGAAGGCAGCCCACCCTGCCAGTCCAGGGCTCAGCTGCAAAAACCATCATCTGTGATAGGTCAGCGAGGGCTGACAGCTTGCCGCGTGATTCATCAGACGACCAGAATAGAAAGAAATGAACAGGAAGGAGAGTGAAAGTGAGCGAGGTACACAGACACAAAAAGAAAAAGGGATCATTGGCATTTTTGAGTGTGAAGGGGAAAACAGAATTGAAAGATGTGAAGTGTGTGAGGCTCTCCAAACTTAACAGCTGCTAATAGTGATAGCAGCAATTTTGACTGTAGCACTTTTCCTGCTTTCCTGTCAGTCACACAGACAAGTGGCACATTAGCTTTGTCTCACAGGCAATTATTACATTGGCTGCCAGCCATATGGAAAGTTCTGGACATACACATTTGTTAAAAAACTCACAGCTCAAGTGTGTTAATTCCCTCCGAGCAGCTGAATTTGGCTGAGCTCTGGAAAAGCTGAGGTGGCTTCTCTTAAAATATTTTGACACGGGGAATTGAAAATATCACTTTAGCCATGGCAAGAGCAGTCTGAAACAAGTCCACTCTCCAACATAGCTGCTATCATTCCAGCTCTTATAATTCAAAGCTTCATCATCGTATGAAGATTATCTCTGCAGTGAGTGTGACAGTTGTGTATGTGTGTGGAAAAAGATGCCTAAGGTATTCATGAAAAGTGTAATATCATTTAGAGCAGACATCTCCTTAAACCCATATGAATTGGGTACTTAATTGTTTGTAAGCGAGAAGAAATGCGCAACCTTCTCTGCTAGTGCCAGTAGATGATTTGTCATATCATCCTTTGGTTTTCAGGGTTCTTCTACTGTAAAAGCAACACAAGCCAAGCAACATTAACCACAAGGCTGCATGTGTTCACTCTCCCCCACACACAGCAATTTACAGCTCACTGGGGCCTTTCCTATACCCATTAAATCCCAATTGCTGAACATAAAATTCCACAACTGCAGAGCAAATAGGAAGCACATCACTGCCCACAAGCCCTCTCTGTAAAATGCCTGGGCTCCTACGGCTCCAAATGGTACGTGTGTGCTGTGCCAGCTTTTGTTCGACTGCCAAACAAGAAGTCAGAATGGACTTGGGATGCAAAGCCTGTGCAGGAGGGCTGGCGGATATGCCAGCACCCACAGGAAACGACATCACCTAATAAAAATCTGTAGCCTTTGCCACATATGATGATCCCAGATCAGATCTATTAAAATAAAGGGAACTATTAACAGTGTAGCCATCATGTGAGAAGGCGAGGCCACCAAATAAGTTCACAGTGAAGCATGAAATAAACAGCATGTAAAATTATGATTAAGTTCATGTAAGCAGTGGCAATTACTAATAATAAGACTAAAATGTCTTCTTAACATGTGGTACACGCAAAGACTCATTGTATTATGTATGTGGTCATCCTCATAACATTACAGAAGTAGATGATGTAATGTTAATATACTGAGAAAAGTGGAGCTTATTTGAATATTGTGATTACAGGGAGAATAACTTGTCTTCATCCATCATGGGTGTAATTTCAGAAGTAGTGGACAGAATTTATTATTGTGCTTTTATAATAATGGTAGTCCTTTACAAACTGAAACTGTATTATTAATGCACTCTCTCCGTTTAGTTTCATTGGCAGATAATATTGTATTTGCATCTTTTCTAAATCCTTAAATTTCTAAAGCCTTAAACTTGACTGATATTCAATTGTATCATATATTTGAGGGAATATTATCTCTGTCAATACACATTATAGATTTTTTTTTTATCTAAACAAACTGAAGAGGACATGAAAATACTTTTTTAAAGCCCTGAGTAGTGTCTTCCTGTCAGGCTACATACAGCCCCAAGAATCTCTATACCTGTATTTAGCCTGCGAGGCAAAGCCTGGGGCAAAGAAGTCTAGAGGGCACTCACTGCGGGAATACTCATTACTTGCTGTGAGCTCACTGGACTTTGGCAGCTGGACAGTCAGAGCACGCTGTTTAAAGCCTTTTAAGTGAGTAAATTCCCAGTGGAAATTATGTCCTTTTCTCCAAGTGCTTGCTTGGGGCCAGTCACTAACAGAATGATGCATCATCTCTCCAAGCCTCAACAGCGTATCAGTTTCAGGACTTGAAATATGATTATCTTTAAAAGACGAGCAAAGTGTGAAGATTCATCACCCTTCATTTAATCAACATCAGTCTAGTGGGAGTCCAGGAAGAAAGATGAATAGACTATTTACTTATATTGAAGGATACAGGTTAGATGCAATAATAATGACAGAGAGACAGTGACGTCAGGGTGGTGATCTTACCTTTCCATATTTCTGTGCGTAGGAGCCCGTGAGCAAAGAATGGAAGACTATGATGGTCTCATCCAGATCCCAAACAAACACCCTCTGGAGAGCAAAATAGTGAAACATTAAAATGTGCTTCTGACATCCATGTGTGTGTGTGTGTGTGTGTGTGCGCGCATGCACAATGGACCATGACATGGGTGGTCCAGGTCTCTATGAGCTGCTGGCCTTCATTTTGAGATTTCAGTGAGGAGAAAAGATGAAGGTCAAAAAGAAAACAGCTTATCCATTGAGATTTGAATGGAATATTCATTCAGCACAGTAAGTGCTCTGTCAGCGGGTGTTTTTTGGGTCTCTTACCTCCAGGTCACTGTCAGGGGGAGGGGAGGGGTTGTTTTTGCGGCCCCTGCCCCGGGACTTGGAACCCCCACTCCGGCTGGCTCGATCATCCAGCTCTTTGATGGGCGTGGAGGGGCTCTGCACTGCGTCAAAGTCCCCTGAGAGAGTATGCAATCACAGACAGGACATTTAAAACATTTAAAATTTGAAAACCATCAAATGTCTGTCTCAGACTTAACAGGTAATCACAAACTACAGTAGAGTTTCCACATTAAAACAACAGTACTGATGTGGCCTGACTGATCCCACAGGTGTTCTGGAGTTGTATCCACTTCAGGAAATAAAAAACAACTCAGACCTTGTACAGTACTAAGCCATCTTGTCAGGTTTAATAATTCAACTTAATTGGCACTTGTCAATTTTGAAACTGGGGGGGGGAGCAAAACAAAGCACCACTGGGTTCCGACTGATTCACGCTAACATGCACACTTAGCAGAGGAGAAGAAAGATGGAACTGTGCAATAAATTAGGAAAAAAAAGTAATCTGATGCTTCTTGCAAAGATACTGTGCATACAAAATTCTACAGGAGCACACGAATTCTTTTGTGTGCGCACACCCTCCTAACGCCATATGCTCCCACTGCTGTGCGGTAACTAGAACCAGACACTAAGCTTCAGCTCTCATATTGTTATGTCTCAATCAGGGAAAG